CCCATCATTCTTGCTGGAGACTTTAACGCATCCCCCGATCGTTGGTTGGACCGATGGCAGGTCGCCCCCTCCTCCAGTCATCGGGCAGAGGAAGATGAAGGTATGCTTAACCGCCTGTGCAGTTCTCTCTCCCTTTTTGACACCTTCCGCCGTTTTTTTCCTACGGAACGGACCTTTACGTGTATCCGCAACAATGACCCGACCAGACTCTCCAAGTCAAGGATCGATCTTATCTTGATCTCAGAGGACTTGGCGGGCAGTCTAACACTAGTTGCAATCCTCCCCTCTAGCCCCTATCCGGGGCTGGACCACAAAATGTGCATGATAGTACTCACCCTTCGTAAGAGGTCAGACCAAGGTCCCGGCTTCTATAAGCTAAATACCTCCTTGCTCCGCCTAAAATCCTTCCAGACGTATTTGACCCAGGTATGGGCATACTGGCGAGAACGCTATCCTGAAGTAGACTCCCCTCTGGCATAGTTCAACAATGGACTATTTTTTCTGGCAAAAAAATGCAATGAATGTTCCAAATAACTTGCCAAACAGCGAAACTAACACGAAACAGACTTGCTAAACCAACTTGAAGAGCTAGAACAACAGTCATCACTTCACGACCCGGACTACTATGTGCAGACTACCCAGGGAGTTAAAGCCCAACTACTTCAGCAAGCGCAATACCGCTGGCAAGGCGCCCGAATTCGTGGCAAACTATCAAACTACTCCACCGAAGGTTCAATGGACACAATTTTTTTCGGCCTTGCTCGCGCCAGGGCCAAACGCACGGTCGTGGAAGCATTATACGGACCTGGGGGAGCAGAGACCCACCCAGTTACCACAACTGCAGGATGTGTCAAAATTGCTCGTGATTTCTTCAAAGACCTCTTTGCAACCCACATACCTCCCACTGACGTCGAGACCCGGTGAAAACAAATAGAGAACTTCCTTCAGCCTATTGACAGGCGCCTTTCTCCCAACCAGCGAGAGAAGCTAGAGGCCCCCCTGACCAAGGATGAAATATGGACAGTCCTCCTACAGATGGAAGAGGAGAAAACCCCTGGGTTAGATGGCTTACCGAAAGAATTTTGGGAGACAATCTGGGATTACTTGAGCTCTGATCTTATGGGATACTACAACGAAGTATGGCGCACAGGAGAAATGGGGGAGTTAGTCGGTCAGGGAGTGTTGTCCCTTCTATACAAGAAAGGAGACAAATTCAATATCCAAAACTACAGACCTATCACCCTCCTGACTGTCACCTACAAAATGTTGGTTAAGGCCCTGGCCAACAGGATGATTCCGGTCCTAGAGGGAGTAATTCAACCATCACAGACAGGGTTATGCAACATAGGCAAATCGAGGAAAATGTCTTGTTGGTCAACGAGGTGTTGCAACTGTCCCGACAAACAAAACAAAATGCAGCCCTTGTCTTTATCGATTTTGAGAAAGCCTACGATCATGTGGACTGGCTCTTTCTTGACAAGAGTTTTGAGAGAATGAATCTTGGGCCGGTCTTCCGTAGGTGGATACGCATCCTCCACTACAATGCCACTACAAGGGTGCAAATAAACAGGACACTGGCTCCTCCGATTGAGTTGGAACGGTCGGTCCGCCAAGGTGATCCAATAGCACCCTTCCTCTTTCTCATTATCATGGAGGCCTTATCGGCCAACCTTCGGGCAAATAAAGACATTAAGAAAATACAGATTACAAGAATTCCACAGGAAGCCGTCCCGTTATGCTCGCTATTTGTAGACGATCTCACCATCATAGTAGATGCTACACAAGAGAATATGATTGAAATCGAGAAATTAATGAGCAAATTTGCCCAAGTATCTGACATGATGGTGAAATGGGGGAGCAAAACACAGGTATGGTGGATCCACTACCAAGGGGGACGTCCACCAGACTCTCCAAACATCCACTGGCTTCCTTTGCAGACCCCTGTCTGTTTCTTGGGGGGTTCCTTAACAGCCCAAGGTCGCCCTTCCTCAAATGACGACTGGATCTTGGCACCCGCTTTAGCTAAACTGGCCAACTGGCGTAATAAGCATACCTCTCTCTTTGGTCGAGCGTTGGCTATTAACAATGTGGTGTTTGCGGCGTTCTGGTACAAGTCAGTGCTTTGGCCCCTGAGCAGGACGGCCTTCCAATCACTTAGGTCTAGGGCAGCAGCCTCTCTTTGAAGAGGAGATGATGACCGTGCAAACGTCATCAGTAGGGTGGCATGGGAATCTGTTATACAACCAAAACAGGCTGGAGGCCTTGGCATTATCGACCCCACGACACAAGTCTAGGCGCTCCGTTTTACATGGTTGAAGACTTTGATCTTCTCCCTGGACAGTCCTTGGCGACCCCTCGCTCTCGAACATATTGCTCGGTTGGCCCCGTCGGCCCCTCCTGAGGTTAGCCCGCTTACATGGTTAGAGGACCGCTATTGGTCAATCCCACGCAAGATCTACGGACATATAACAGATAAATTTTGGTCTTCACTACTAAAGATTTGGCGCATGCTCCCCCTTCCTGAAAAGCAGACACCAACAAGGTGGGAGGAAATATACCGACAACCCCTTTTCGGTAACCGGTGGATTACTCCCTATCATGGGCAGATTTTGAACAACTCAGTTGCCCCCTGGAAGGGATGGGTGAAGAATGGGATACTCCGTGTCGGGCACGTGTGGAACAATGAGAGGAGAGACTGGAAAACAGCAACCTAGCTTCAAAGCACCCTCCGTTACTGTCATCATACAGAGAAGCACTTGGAAACAATCATTAAAGCACTCCCTCTCGCCTGGTATAAGATACTTAAACGCGGCCCCACCTTGGAGGAAGGGGACTGGGTCGCTATACCAAGGGATCCAACACGGATAGGCCAGATCCACCGGGTGCGGGTATCTGACGTGTTGGTGGAATATTATGCCATTGGACCAAGGGGGAGGCTCCTTGGCTGCCGCAACCTCTTTGAATGGCGGGAAAAAACTGAGGTGTTCCGAGTAGGGGTGTTGCAGGAGGGACAGGACACCATAGTCTTCTCCCCCCAAACACCAATAAACGAGCTGCCCATCAACCCTGAAGAATGGCAATGGCAGACGGCCCGGGGAACAGCAATGGCGTCCGGAAAGAGAGTCCACCTTAACACCATATCTGTCAAATCCATGTACAAGATGCTTAGACCCAAGAGAGTGTTAAGGGACCGAATCAACGATAGGTGGGCCCAACACCTGAACGTGGATCAGTCTCTCCTCAGGCCAATCAAATGGTCCAATGGAAGCAAAGCGAGACCGGCCAAAATCACGTCATTACAATGGCAGATCGCCCGTCGCTGCCTGCCGACAAATGCCTGACTAATTGACCATACTCACCTGGAACAAAAAGGAATAGCACTCCCGTGGTGCCAACGATGCTCATCTGCCTTCCCAATGCAAAAAAGAAACGAAACCATCGAGCATATCTTTATGCAATGCCCGGTGGCCTTACTAACATGGCGGTGGTGGAACCACATATGGAGGAAAATGGTACCGGACATACCCTGGCCATGGTCCTGGCAAGCCATACTGACAGGGCATTGCCCAGCACTAGAAAGCGCCCCTACCAACACCAACAACCTGTACAGCTTGGGTAGCCGATCTGTCCTATGGGCACTTTGATGGCAGCGCTGCCTTTTAGTCTTGGAGGGGGTTAAAATCGAGGGTCTCGAATTGACAGGGCAAATAAAGGAGCTGGTACAATTGGAGTTGAGGCGTAGATTGCGAGACCTTAAACCACAGTTAGACATTTATCAGACAGCCCAGGATATTAAGAGGGCGATTACCGGTTTTTGTGGGGACTGGCTAGCGGGGATCGAGGAGGGTGGATGGCTCGAATTGAATGGACAGGGGATCAGGCCGTCATAACAGGACAAGGAGTCCCGAGGGACTATAGACTCGTTTTTAATGATTGGACCTACATTGACCCATCCTTCCCGATGAGACCCCCGTCTGATTTTCTGGACCCATTCCCCCCTCACCCTCTTGCCCTGATGGAAGTGGTTACCTAACCCTGATACAATAGTGGATCAGATATGAGTGAGACAAGCCTCACCGGTGCCCCCCGGGGTAGTGCTTATCGATTGTTCTTAATACAATATCAACTGCAATCAGACTCGACTGAGTCACACTTCGACATGCATGCAAACAGCTATACAACAAACTGGCGACATGCGCCCACACAGTACTCGAAGATATCGTAACCAGATAAGAGTTCTCTTCCACTGGCTATGGCGACTGTACGCTCACACAACTCACTGTTCCCACTTGAGATCACCCTGGATGTCCCACACACAACACTCAGTGTCTATACACAACACACACACACACTATACTATAGTTATGGCAGCGCTAGCTGCCACTACCCTATCGCTACACTACACTTCTCTGCCCACTTCGTCTTCGGGCGCACTGCAGACCTCCTCGCACAAGGTGCTAAGGCAGCGCTTCCGCATGGCATCCGCAGGRATGAATGAATGGCTGGACGCAGCCTCTTGATTTATACTTTTGCGCTGCGTTGGTCTACCCCATACCCCTTGGCCCACGATGTGCACACAGTCCCAGACGGTACTTGCTGGACAGGACCGGACTGACTAACTGGGACTATTGACGCAGCAAAGTGGTCTACCACCACTTGACCACTTGCCTCGGTTGAATGCAGGCCAACTCCGAAAGGCCACTTCTAGAAGTGTCTAACTTGGCCTTTCGGTACTGTAGCAGCTACGACCTTGCCCTTTCAGGTAAGTAGCAGCTACGACCTTGACTCCTCAGGCAGCCTACAACTACGACTTGGGAACTGTTTAGACTCCTACTCTATAGATCTACAGTTCGATTCCCTTCTACCCTGTGACCTACGACAAACTGCCTACCACTGACGTTCCTACAGGTCACAAGTTCAAGTCTACGGGTTGACACTGATACGGTACACAGGTAAGACGAGGATCTAGGGATCGAGCCCTGGGATCTGCATTCGCTACTGTGAACTGGTGAATACCGTTTCACTCCCGCCGGCCTAAATTCGAGGTCCTCCAATAAAATTTCAATCCAAGGCAGGACCTTTCCCCTTTTGCTGTCTCTCGTAGGCTCGGACTATATCGGGAGCTGTCTCTAAAAGTTCAGATCTTGTAAACCAGCAGTCGTCTTCTGGTTCCTGATAACTAAAGTGAACCTTATATTGTTTTTGCGGATGACCCCTACCTCCAGTTCTGAAGACATCTTCAACCACTATACCATTTATGTCATATCTTCCATCCATATCCGGTGGGATCATCGATCTACGGGATGGAAACTGATCACTTGTTTGACAAGGTAGTAACTTCGATGCGTGGAAAACTGGGGAAGTGTGGAGGTGTGCTGGTAACTCTATGGTGTAGGACGGTCCATCTTCACCGCCCTTGACTTCCATAACAGGCCACGGTCCTCTATACGTGGACAGTAACTTCTGCGAGATGTTCTCCTCAGGTGCAAACTCTTTAGAACTAACCCAGACTAAGTCGCCTACTTGAAACTGTGAAGGGCGACGATGTTTGTTTGCTTGTTCTATCATCCTATGCTGGGCTTTCCTGAGGTTTTCTACGACAGTAGCTAGTTCTTTCTCGTGCTGTACAGCAAACTCCCTGGTCCCGGGCAGCAATCTGTGAATCTGATCCCGGTTGAGTCCCTCAAACGGTCGGTGCGGTCGGAAGGACTTGTGCAGTTTGTTGGGAGTGCGGCATGTAGACAAATGCACGCTGTTATTGTATGCACTAGCTACTTTGGGTAACATCTCATCCCAGTTAATCTGATCCGGCCTAATATACATGCGCAGAACTTGTTGTAAGATCTTGTTCATTTGCTCTGTCTGACCGTTAGTCTCTGGATGACGGCCGGACGACATCAACAACTTAGATCCATATACTCCCATGAGTTCTTGCCAGTTCTGGCTGGTGAAGCGACTATCTCTATCGCTAACTATCGACAGCGGGATTCCATTCTCACTAACCCAACAGTCAAAGAATCTCTGTATGACTAAATCAGTACGTGCCTCTGAAGGCAAAGGAACAAAAACTGCGTATTTACTAAATCGGTCAACTATGACCATGACTTGGCTCTTGCCATGCCTGCTCTTGACGTGGGTGTCCATGAAGTCTATGGACACTGAGTCTCCCGGCTGATCCGGAATGGGTAAGGGTCTGAGAAGACCTAGTGGGGCGCGCATAGAACTCTTGTTACGCTGGCAAACCTTACAACTGCGAACATACTCTACGCAGTCATTTTTCATCCCTGGCCAGGTATACGCGCGCATTAGATTGGCTAAAGTCTTTTGCCAACCGAAATGACCCTCTGTGTCGTGGCATTCGACCAAAATCAGACTACAAATCTCTTTGCTATTGGGGACGCACAGGCGGTCAAACACATTAGTCTTCTCAAAAAGCAACCCTTCAGTAGTGCGGTAATTCGACTCTGTCTCCGGGGCCTCCTTGACTTTCTTAAGGAGCTCACTATAGATAGGGTCCTGCGCGTAAGCTTCTCTAACCTTCTGTTGCAGATCCTTCCCTATATCGAGGTAGTGTACTATTGCCCCAAAGTAATCAACTCTTCTACTTAGAGCATCCGCGACTATGTTATACTTCCCCTTGACTGGCTTGAGCTCAAAGTCGTAGTGATCTAGCTCTGCGGCCCAACTAGTAAGCTTAGGTGTCATCTTGGCCTGCGTCTTTAACCACCGTAACGTTTCATGGTCAAAATAGAATTTGAAGTGCCTCCCAAGCAAGTAGTGCTTCCAGTGGTCTAACGCTTGCCTGAGAGCGTAGAGTTCTCTCTCATAGGCAGATGTCGCGACCTTCTCTGAAAGCATTCTGGCGGACATGAACTCTACGGGCCTATAGCCATTGCCATCGTCTTGCTGTAACACTGCGCCTATACCGTACTGGCTAGCATTCGTAGTAACGACAAAAGGCAAGGACGGATTGACGACCTTAAGGACCGGATACTCTATCAATGTCTGCTTTAGCTTCTTCATGGCAGACGTGCAGTCCTTGTCCCACTTCCAGATTGTCTCCTTTCTCAGCAATCTGCAAAGGGGCGCAACGATGGTGGAGAAGTTCCTCACAAACTTCCTGTAGTAATTCGCTAAGCCCAGGAACGAGCGCAACTCTGTCAGCATACGTGGCGTGGTCCAATCTCTAATCGTTGCGATCTTGCTATCCTTTGGCTTAACGCCGTCTCCGTCTAAGACGTGGCCTAGGTACAAAACTTGGTTCTTCGCCCAATCGCACTTCTTTGCATTGATCTTGAAGTAAGCTTCCCTCAGCTTCTCCAAGACCTGCCTGAGATGCCCCTGATGCTCTTCGAGGGTCCGGCTAAACACTAAGATGTCGTCTAAGTAAACTACAACAAACATGTCTAACCACGACCTAAACAAATCGTTCATGCAGCGCTGGAACGTAGCTGGCGCATTGGTTAGTCCAAAGGGCATCACGATGAACTCGTAGTGCCCATATCTAGTCCGAAAGGCTGTCTTATACTGATCATCAGGATGCACCCCTATCTGATGATACCCGGACTTCAAATCTATCTTGAAAAAATACTTCGCCCCCTGCACTCGATCTAAGAGATCGTCTATTCTAGGTAGTGGCTCAACATTCTTTACCGTAATAGCATTCAGACCCCTATAGTCTATGCACATTCTCAGCTCTCCCTCTTTCTTAGGGACAAAGAGAACAGGCGCTCCGAAAGGGGACGAACTGGGCCTAATCCAACCCTTCTCGAGGAGCTCGTCTAATTGCTTGGGAAGCTCCTCTAACTCCCGTGGGGACATCCTATACACAGCGCCCTTATAAATCCTACTGCCACGCTCTATCTCAATGCGATGTTGGATGGGCCGCGGTACCACCCCTATCGGCGGCTCAATTAGATCCTTGAACTCTTCCAGCAGTTTGGCAATCGCAGGGTCCATCGGCTTTTCTTCCGTAGGCTCAGTCACTGGCCTAACATAGGCAACAAAAACCTGTTCCTCCAACTTCTCCTTTTTCACCAGTCTGGCGAACGCGGGGGCACTAAGGCAGCAGTGCGCCAAGGAATTCTCTACCCCTGACACATGGAACAGGCGGGCAGTCTTGGTTTCGCCTGACGAACTAGGGAGCCTACACTCGTGCTCCTTCAAATGGAGTGTGGCCCCGGCTGCCTCTCCCCAATCCATTCCCAGAACAATATCAAAGGGGAGGCTGTCTTCTACGAGGAGAGTCAGGGAGTGGAGAATCTTTTCCACTTTCCCATCTTTCTCTAGGCGGAAATACGCCTGGATTCCCTCTACGTAATCCTCTACAACCATAGTGCGATTGTCCGTGAGGATACTAACTATGGGGTCTGTCAATTTCTGGACTTTAAATCCCAGCCTCAACTTCTGCAGGGCTTTCCTACTAATATAGCTGTGAGTGGCCCCTGAGTCTACTAGGGCCCCTACTCTACTTCTAAAAATCTCTGTATCTAGCAATATAAGCTGCCCTTTATTCTCCTTCTTCATCTTGGCCCAGGCGGGCATCCTCTCCTTCAACTCTTCGGCCACGCCTATGAGGGAGGTGTCTAGCGAAACTCTAACACAAGCAGTTTCGGGACAGCTGTCTAGACACCGGCCTGCAACCTCTGCCGTAGGCACATGTGGTGTGGGAGTCTCTTGCCGGCTAGCGCTATTTTTCCCACATGGCCTAGTGGTAGGGGCAGTTGCTACCCCTACCGGCGGCTGCCTTTTGGCCCTTGGGCAGCCGTTCGGGTCTCTCTATACTTGGGACAATATTTGATGATATGGCCCGGGTCACAGCAGAAAATGCACTGGACCCGGTCCAATCGTTTTTGCCATAAGTCCTGGTCCAGACCCAAAGATTCCCAAGGCCTACCCTGAGGTAGCCCTGGGTGCCATCCTCCTACTCTATAGGGAGACCTGTTCCTAGGACTGTTTTGCGGGGGACCTTGACCCCTGCGTCCCGTTTGGCGGTTTCCTCCTCTGCCGCCAACCCCCTGATCGCCCTGGAATCGGTTCCCTGAGGCCCGGCCCCCTTGGCCCTGGCCTCTTCCTCCTTGCGGCCTCCCTCCAGCCGCGACAGCAGCGTAGGATCTCCCCTGGCCCACACCGCTGTCCTCCTCCTCTAGCCCCCACTCAATCTAGTCGTAGGGRATCTCATCCACACTACCCTCATCTAACGTCAGGACAAGGTTGTCCTTAGTCTTTACCTGCCCTGAGATAGTGCGACCTTTCCATTGCTTTCCCCTGTCCAAATCCTTGTGCCAGAAGGTAGACAGGGACACGGACTTCGCTTCAAAAGCCACCACTTCACGGCTAAGGGAATCGTAAGTGGTGGCAGGGTCTTCGCTCTTCGCGAAGAACTGCCCTCGAAAGGCTTCGGGCATAGCCCGGTAAAAGAGGTTGACGAACTGGCCCTCTGTGACCCCATGGTTAGGGATGGCCACCAACTCATCCATCGTACCCTTGAGTGCCCTGGCACTCTTCCATTTATGAGAATTGATGGTTTGGAGCTTGTCTGAGGCCTTGAGACTGCGAGCGACATCAGCAAATCGCTCGCGCAGCAATTTTATAAAATCGATGAGGGGAGTAAATGCGGAATACGCAACTGGATCGTCATTACAGTTGGCAGCGCGAACAAGGGACCTTGCAAAGCTAGCGGCCTCGTCTCTAAGCGCGTGGATCGCGATCAGAACCTGCTGCTCTGGGGAGACCTGTTGCAGATGCACATAGGTCTTGACGTTGGCTTCCCAGTTGTCAAATTTCTCTTCCCTTTTTCCACTGCAGGAATCAGGGAACTTGACCTTGACCGGCTCGTCCGCCTCCTCCTCCTTGGGAGCTGCCGCCTTGATGCCTTCAATGGCGCCAGCGCAAAACCGTTCGGTCTTGTCTAGACGATGACCCACCTCGGCTCCAACAGCGCCTACTAACTCACGAGCAAAGTCCCAGAAGCCCAATCGTATTGAGCGCACAGCTATATCTTGACTCCTACTGAAGTCATATTGGCCCGCCTGAATCCGTGCCAGGCGTGCGACACTTTGGGCTACGACTCGCATCTGAGCTGGGAGTTCAGTTTGGGCGGCTACTTGCTCTTCCAACTTTTTCACCTCCTCTAATTCTGCCGCCGCCTCCGCTGCCTTGTCAACTCTTCTCTTCTTCTCCCTCATCACTGCTAATTTCCACTCCATCCTCTTCTCGTCTTCCAACGCCTGTCGTCTGAGGAGATCTTTCTCTGCATCCCAAACCCTCATGGCAGCCTCTTGCTGATCCTGCGGGATGTACATACTAACTTCTTCCTCTTCTTCCACAGACAGATTGGCAACCCATTCGGATATCCTCTTCTCTAGGTCCCCACCGTGGCTGCCATTGTGCTGCCCACTCTGCCTTTGCAACGGCGGTCCTTCCTCTTCTTCATCCACCTCCTTCAACTTCGCCTCCTCTTCCTTCTTGATCCTCTCCTTCTCCCTGACCATCTCTTCCTCGATCTTTCTCAACTTGGCCGCCTGCTCTTCCTGCAAGGCCTTGTTCTTGGCCTCCTTCTTCTCCTTCCTCTCCTGCAGAATGGCGGCCATCTTCTCCTCCTCCTCCTTCGTGTAGGGGTTGGTGGAAGTACCACCACGAGTGGGCCCAACTCTACACGTGAAAGTGGGCCAAAAGCCCAGAGGAAARAGGAGACGCCARAGGGTCCCCYAGAGRGAGAACCCAACMAGYARCCCATACATCGGATAGTCATCCATCGTGGTGTTGGTGCACGACAAAGGTCCCACTCCTCACCACGTAGACCTACCCGGACACACTGACCTACTGACTGGCTCTCTAAGATCCACTGCTCACAACTATTCCAAGGTTGTCACTACAGAACCAAAAGCTGATCAGGAGGCATTTAAGGAGATCCCCCAAACTCCGCAGGAATTCTTTAACGTCGCAACAGGACGACGCGATCATCTTGGCTCCTCTGGTGATTTCAGCCCGCAACTCATCCCGTCCAGCCTCCTGTGCCACACCAAGCAGCCCGCCGGTCGGTACCGGTCCTTGGAGGGGTTCGTGTCCCTCGGGTCAGTCGAGTCGTCAAACACGGATCATCAGCCTTCTGGGTCCGGTAGGGGAGTGGCTCAACCAGGCCTCAACACTTAAAGACGGCCTTCGTTTCAGCCCACACCTCGGAGTTCGGACCCTCCACACTGAACTCAGTAGACCTGCCGGACAGTACCGGTCATTGGGCTAGACGAGTTGTTTAACGAGCGCTCGCCGCTCATGCCCAGGTCTCTAGATGCCAGAGTAGAGCTTTGGTCCTACTAAGCCCGTGCAGGTTTGGCAGCAAGGCCCTATGCTTCATCCACAGAGTCCTAACACCTAAGATAGAAGAGACTCAATGCAGAAAGAGTAGACAGACAGACTCAGCAAGTACCGTCGGGTAAGTGCACATCCACAAGGTAAGGGGATAGGCTGACGGCTCAACGAGATATCACCAACTCCAGCTTGGTCAAAATCTTGGTCAGCAGCTCCGGCCAACGCCTTGGTCAACGCCGAGTCAACGCAGACAAGCTCCGGTCAACGCTTGGTCAACCACCCTGGTCAACGCCTGGTCAACCCTTCACCTCGGCTATGGCTGCCGACACCTTCACCTTCGTCACCCCTGCTGTCTACTTCCCCATCCTTCACTTTCTTTCTCTTCACTTTCGCTGTATATATATATATATATATATATATATATATATATATATATATATATATATATATATATTTTATTTATTTATTTTATTTATTTATTTATTTTTTCTTTGTGCTCGCCCCCAGCTATGTCTGTCTTCTTCTTCAATCTCCTCCTCCCATGCTTCTTCTTCTCTCTCCTTAGTCCCTCCTTCTCTGTCCTCCCTTTCTCCCTCCTCCAGTACTCTGTGCCAATACTCCGCGGCTATGGCCGCCGTCTTCCTTCTCAACCGGACTCCACAGCTCGCCTCACAGGTAAGTGACAACCAATCTTGGATCGCTCATCTCTCTCTCTCTCTCTCTCTCTCTCTCTCTCTCTCTCTCTCTCTCTCTCTCTCT